CAGCTCCGTTGACGGACGACGGGGTAGCGGTTGCCGATCTCCGCTCCTATCTTGCGAAGATCGACCGCGAGCGCGCCACCCAAAGGTACGCCGAAACCGACGCACCTTTGCTCTATATCCGCATTCAAATCGGAAAGGCAACCTGTAGTGCCTTGATTGATTGCGGAGCGTCTCGCAACTTCATGAGTCAAGCCTTTATGGCCCGCGCAGGTCTTGGCCCGCGCGTTTGAAGAAAGACGCAACCTACGCAAGTTACACTCGCGGACGGCCGCACGCAAAAGTCAATTGACCGATGCGTTGACGACGTTCCGGTCTATTTTGCGCCACTTGCGTGCGAGCCGGTGTCTTTTGACATCCTCGACACCAAGTTCGACATGATTCTAGGCATGTCTTGGTTGTGTAGCACCGATCATCCGGTGAACTTCCATGACCGAACCGTTCACACCCGTGATCGGAACGGAGTGTTAGTCCCATGTACAGTCGCGACCCCTCACACTTCGATTGCTTGTCACGTGGTTTCCGTTGCGAGAATTCGCGACGCCATTGCTCGGAATGACGTCGAGGAGATGGGCCTTGTATTCTTGCATGCTCTCCCCTCGCCGGACGGACCAGCCGCGTCACCGCCGGACCCACGCATTTCTCACTTCTTGGACGAGTATAGAGACGTCTTCGAGGCTCCCACCGGAACGATTCCAGATCAGCCCATACGTCACGGGATGACTCTCGAGGCGGGCGCCGTCCCTCCGCGTGGATGTATCTACCGCATGAGCGAAGAGGAACTCGAAGTGCTTCGCGCACAACTCGATGACCTTCTCGACAAGGGCTGGATTCGCCCTAGTTGCTCGCCATACGGTGCACCTGTTCTCTTCGTCCGGAAGAAGAACAAAGATCTACTGTTATGCATTGACTATCGGAAACTTAACGCAGAAACCGTAAAGAACGCCGGCCCTCTCCCTCGGATTGATGATCTTCTTGAGCGGTTAGTCGGCGCGACGTACTTCTCGAAGTTGGATCTGAAGTCAGGTTACCACCAGATTGAAATCCAGCCTCAAGACCGGTACAAGACCGCGTTCAAGACGCGGTATGGGCATTTTGAGTGGGTKGTCATGCCATTTTGCCTCACCAATGCCCCCGCAACGTTTCAAGCAGCGATGACGACTGAGTTTCGCGACTTGCTCGATCGCAGCGTCCTCATCTACCTTGATGATATCTTGGTTTATAGTAGGACGTTGAACGAGCACATCGTACACCTTCACGTTGTCTTGAATCGTTTGCGACTAGCCAAGTACAAAGCGAATCTCGACAAGTGCGAATTCGCCAGGCAAGAGCTTGAGTACTTGCGCCATTTTGTCACGCCGAAAGGCATTCGTCCCTTAGCGGACAAGATCCAAGCCATCGTGGATTGGCCGGAACCCCGTTGCACGACGAATGTACGCTCTTTCATGGGTTTGGCTGGATAT